GGAACAGAATCCAGAGGCTCTACCAGGACTGGGGTTGAATACGGCACCGTGGGGATGACATATAGGGACTTGCAAGGGCTTCAGGCGACGTCACAGGGAGCGCGCGGGGGTCAAGGTCCTTGCTTCTTGAACTCGGTTATCCCCTCTGACCTGCTTTTCTCCTGTGGTTCCCGGTTCCCTAGAAGAGCAGTGTGAATCCTTCCAAGTCAAGGGGGGGACCTACTTCAAAAGATGGCACATGGGCTCGCGGCAAAATCAGGGAAGTGCCTGGACATGCTCGGCGCATGACCTGTCACTCAAATTCTGCGCCCTGTTAGCACCTCTATGTCGGGCCACTACCTTGAAAGTTTCTAGAAGGTTAGTAGGTACCTTTGTTAGGACTGGGCGCTTACAAGCTGCTATGGAAGAAACAGGACCTCAAACCAGGATCTGGAAGCCCCTCTCACATCAGATTCTACCAGATGTGGCATTCCAATGACTGACTGAGCGTACACGCAACGCCGGCTTCTTTGAGCGGGGGAAGACCATGTTAAGTAACGCGTTTAGCCGGGGCTTCATGGGAGAGAGGAACCAGTCAAGGGATATTAATAGTAACAATAGAAGTGATAGTAATCATTATAGTAATAGTAGCAGCGGTCATCACAGTAAGAACAGCAATAGTAGATTCTGCACCTGCACTGCGGCGCTTGGACTCTGCTTCACGTTGAGCAGCACCTGGACACGGCAAGCTAGGACGAACACCACAAAGGTTTTCTCAACTGGGGCTGGCGCTGGGGCTGGTGCTGGTGGTGCTGCTGATCGTAACTGTGGTGTGCCAGCTGTATAGCAGTGCAGGGGTGGTGCTAGAACTACTATAATATATTGGGGCTATTTTGGGATAATGGACAAGAAAATGGAAACCACTATAGTATATTTGGGTTATATTGGGACAATGGAAAACGCCTGCAGCAGGAAGGATACAAAGCAAATGCAGCTTTGGCGGGCTTGCTATTGTGACCAGCAGCGCTACCACTCGAAAAATGCTTCTGGCCAATTACTGTTTACTTTGTCTTGTGGTAGTTTCCCAAAAAAAGGAACCCTAATATAGATACCAAAATACTATAGTCCTTATTTTGGGGACCCCCAAAAGGTACCCCTAATTTTGCGAAACTCTAAACCCTAAACCCTTGTCCTCACTCGTGCTCACATTCTGACCCATGCCTCGCCCAGAGCCACCACAAGCGCTACCCGGGCAGCCGGGTCAGCGTTGCTAGAGAAGCCGGCAAGCCTCGGTAAACCCGTTTATGATATACTATAACATACTATAGTATATTATCTTATAAGACACTATATTATACTGTAATATAATGTACTATAATTCATCTTTGTGACTCTAGCCATTTTTTGCAACAAGGATACCTACACTAAACCACAAACCAGGAGGTTTCAACATCCAATCGTGATGGAAGGCCCTCATATGAGTATGAAGGTAAACCTTGCAATTCTGAGGCTAAGGACACCTAGCATTGTATAGTCGGAGGAATCCGCACCCTCTGTACATCTTTTTGGTAACTTGTCTCCAAAGATGAATGCGTGGAAATGGTGTCGATGCACTGTGTTTTTTCGTCCGAATTCTCTAAGCATTCCACGCTACTTCGTAATGCTAATGCCAGAGATGCTGGCCTGTCCTGACACTGGTAAGGCAAGCATGCCCGCAGCATGTAATTCAATCCCCTAGCCCTGATAGCAACCTCCTCACCCCCCTACTGATAGACCTTCGCCCCAGTATCTAACGGCACGACATAGGGAATGCTTGTTCAGGTGGGTAGGGTTGAGGGGGGCTCGGACGGAGAGGACTTTAGTTGCCGCCAGAATGGGGTTGAGATCCTTGTGCCGTTCTGCAAGAAGGAGTTGACCAGGGGGGTATTGGGGTGAATTGGGGTGAATATGGGGTTCTTGTTATGGTTTGGGGGAATTCCATATTCTATCTACTTGAGGGGGACTACTTAACGGGGACTGTATTTGGGATTTAAGGTTTATAGCCTACCTACAGGCCCCCCGGCCCATCCCGGAACGCCCGCCCATCCCGAAACGGCAATTGATTCAAGTTCGATATTGACAAGACTAATGCGACGCGGGTTTAGGGACCTGCTAGACAGAATTTGTATGCGGAAGATATGCTAATCAATTATTACTGGAATGGCACTGATTGGTTCTGGCTGGTTTCAACTCCCCATAATCCCATTACATTACTACAGCCGGGCTTTACAAATGTACACAAGTACACAAGGTTTAGGTTTGTGTAGGTATACGGGTTATATAGGGGTATACAGGCTTATATATGGGTGATGTAGGGATATATAGGTTTATATGGGCTTGTTGAGGGTTCTATGAGGGTTAGGTAGGGTTATAGGCTATAGGCTATAGGGATACATAATAACAATCACGCAGAAACAAATTCTAAGAATATGGAAGCTGACATGAAATTTGTAGGGGTGTACAGGGTACGACAAAAGCGAAGCGGACATCATTGAGCCCTGATCTGTAGACCATGCTCTCCAGCCAAAAACGCATTTTGTTGAGCCACAATGTGCCCTCTTGTCAGGGGAAATGTGGGGAGTCGGGACCTTTGTCAATCAAGAAATCCTGTAAATCCTAAACCTGCGCTGCACTCAACGTGAACTCCTCAAGGTTCTTAGCAGTCATCCTTTGTTCCCCTCCAACAGGTTTCCCCCTTGATAAGAGCTATCTGATGATAGCCAACGATTCTTAAGGTTAATTGAAGGGGAACCTTGAGGGAGCGGGAAGCAATACGATGAGCTCCCTACACCCTACACAAGGGTAGGCTTGGGGGCCTCATGAAATCAAGTTCTTATTGTGGTATAAGGATTATTTAGGGATTTAGGGGTAACAACGATTCAACATATGTTCTAAAGTACCCATGTGTAGGATAACCCATGAAGTAAGCGCATGCCAGAGCAGCTCGTTGATCAGTGGCTCAGTGCGGGCTGCCCTGCGCGCGACCCTAACCCTAAACCCGTGAACCCTAAACCCTGAGCCCTTAGCCGTAATCGACCACTTCCAACATGACACACTTGGTGGGACGCTGGGGTTACTAAGGGGCTAGGACATATTCGTAAAGGATTACAGTACACCAGAGTCCTATAAAGTAGGCCTGAGCAAAGAGCTTTTGAGAAGGGACCCGCAATGTGAGTAGTCAGTGTTTGGAGCGCAATCCATGGCAAGCAGGAGTACCGGCAAGGTGGGCACGATTACAAGTATGACCTCCACCATCCTGAACATGTGGGGCGCAAAACATTCGGTTCAGTCGATTCACATTTAGGCCTCATCAGCCCGAACTTAGACGAAGGAGATGGGGGCCACACCCTCCTGTCCACATTATCCTGCCAAAGCCCAAGTTGCAAAATCAAACTCTCCAACCAACATGTCCTGCTTCGCAGCCTTGCTGATGCCGTAATGCTGTTACGTATGCTCTTTCCTTCTTCCATGTGCATGTTTCGAAGTCCGGGTCCTCCCCTATACACCCTCCAGTGGTCACACAGTTCTTGCTAAAGTGACAAGCAAACAGGTACCATCATCTTGACAACCCCCGTCATACTGATGATGTTGAAGTTTTGCTCTTTCCCTCCCTGGCTGCACCAGCCTTAACGTCATGTGTAGCGTTCAGAGCTTGCGCATCAAAAGTCTACCGGTAGGCTCTAAACTCTTAAACTTTCACAACCTTCACCCTAAGCCTAAACCCCAAGCCCTAAAGCCTAAACCCTAAAAAGACATCCTAAAGGATTGCAGGGACTGGCCCAATTACTTACGCATGTGCGAATACACGTTGTAATGTTGATCCTGCTGACTTTAGTGAAGGGACTTCACTGGGAACCCCAAACAGGGAACCCCAAGAATATAGTAGGAACATAAATGATAACAACCAGGGTCCTTACATTCTATTATATTATATTCCTACTATATTCTTAGGGTTCCCTGTTCGGGGTTCCCATTAGAACCATTGTACTAAGAGCTGCCGACCCCAAACCTCAAGCGGTGCTAAACCTGAAGCCTCACGGGTTTGGGAGGCCCTATCGGGACTCTGGACCCTATCCCAAAACGTCTAAACTCTGCTCTACCCAATGTAGGTCCGACTTGGGCGTATTTCAGCTCTGCAGAGGCTACTTGGGATCCAGCTAGATGGGGAACCCAAACACATGGGAGGATCAAACTAGAAACTAGACCCTAAGTCCAAGGTAACAGCTCTGTTTTCCGCATACACTCCCCACATAGTCCCCAAACCCTTTAGCCGTAACCCCCTGAATTCCTGAGCCCTGAAGCCTAAACCCTATACCCTAAACTCCAAAACCTAAAAACCCTACTAACCCCGAACCCTGGGAAGTTGGGTTCCCAAGCCTTCGAGCCAGTAGCCCCAGGGACTCGGCGGCTTTTCTACGAACGGCCTCACCGGATGCTGAATTTGGGGGTTTCCCCGAATTAGAGGTACCCTTATTGGGGAGTCCCTTTAATAAGGATTGTAGTACTTGGAGGTCTATACTTGGGGTCCCCCTATTTAGGGAAACTATCTGGGCTTATGTTCATAGGTTGATTGGAGCTTGCGGCTTATGATTGTCGGGTTTATGGAAGCTGGAGGGCCATGATTACAGGGTTTACCGGTGCTTGAGGCTTATGATTCATGGAATGGGTATAGGGCTTCACCACGCACATCGCGCTGCACTGCACGGCAGCATTGTGGGGTCTCAGCACAAATCAGACCCAACTACTCTACCGCACAAGGACATGCCTGAGTTACGTCAGATGAACCCCCTAAGACAATATTTACTCCGGATCAACTATAGTATACCACGATGGATGCATGTAATGTTAGGTGGTGAGGTGGGTGGTACTGTTAAGAAGTGATTAATGCTCTTGATGTCCCTTACGAATATTCCCTCTGCTGCATGATAACGAGGCAGAATGAGCTGTAATTTTACAACCTAATCACGAAACTCAAGCCGGTCCTCCGAGTTGGGTGGGTCCGTGAGGCACTTCACGTAGGTCGTCTGAAGCTGTGGGAGGAAAGGCTTCAGCGTCTCACCTGCGAAGCCGGTAGCCAAGTGCAACTCGTGCCTCTGCATCAACTGCCCGCACGCTCCCCATCCAAAGTAATTTTGTCAGCAGAATGAGGCCTCCTCGGATGAGAAGTGCCTGCAGAGTGTCCACGATGGCCTTCTTTACATTGCCCGGGAATTTGTCACCCACGATTCGGATCAAAGGACCTGCAAGGCTAAAAGTTCATCACATCTGGAATGTCGTCTGCCCAAATCACGTCTCACATCCTGCCTGTGATCTTCACAGCGTATGGCGCCAGTGCCTTTTCAGTGGTGTGGTTCACGAGCTCGCCAAGACCTCGTAGGCACGACACTACAAGCTTGCACTCCACATGCATTGAGAACAGGACATCATCTGCCCGCCTTCTAAGACTAGCGGAACATATTGTTAACAAACCGCTGTTCTGACAAAATATTATCCATGCCGCGTCGTTGTTGTTGTTGTTCTTAGTATCATTACTATTATTATACTACTATTCTGTTTATCATCATCCTCACCCTTGTGATGCGGCTGCTGCTTCAAAACCTCTTCCCGGCCTTTAGCTGCCAACTCTCGAGCATCTGCCGTCCCGTACATGAGCCCATGCTGGTAGATGGGGTACAGCGGTTCCAAGCCCTTGTGGTCGCAAAGTCCTGTCCAACTAGCACATGCATTCCTAGTAGCAGCAGTAACTAGGAGAGAAGCAGTGCCCCTGATCATGCTGCTGGTGATCTGAACTTGGCAACGGCACGCATCCTGAAATCCATGTGCACCATCAAGACTACCATAAAAAAACGGACTTGAAGAACACATCGCAGGGATTGAGCAACTTTGGCTACATGCAGTTGCTTGCGCACGTATGTATAGCAGAGCTTGTTGGGCAGGAGAGTTGCGCGCAGTGCATGGAGCCCTTCCAGTGTACAAAAGAAGCTTTCCCTGCCAGGGATGGGCGGCTCATCGCTACGTCGAGTAAGCGACCGAAATATATCTTCTGACTCGCCTTGGTCCATCACGGTCTAATCACGGAGGATCCGCATGTCTGCTGGCCTCTGGAGTCTGAGCAGTTCGTAAGGCCTGCAGTGCTAGCAACGAGACCAAGCACAAGTACAGCAGAAGAGCCGCGGGCATCACCATGGTTTCTCGTAATGCTTGTGCATCTCCTGCCGCGTCTTGTCATGCGTTGATCGACAGAGACGACGCCTCTGCTTGGATTCCTGCTTCTCTGCCTCTGCTTGCCGCGTCCTGTCCTCCTGCAATAGCAGCTCACGTTTCGCCTCGGCTTTTTGCTGCGCGACTCGTACATCAAATGCGATTGCCTCGATCTCCTCTGTGAGCCCTGCATTCATAAGCTGGGATGGTATAAGGCACAGCAGATCTTCCGGCGGTATTTCGTGGCCAGCGTCCCGAAACACTGCGGCCTGCGAAAGGATGTCCTCTTCCAACATGCCCTGCAACAACTCCCCCAGGGCACTGCGGTACACCCGCTGCACCAGACCACAGGAGCGCACAGCTGTTCGCAGCTCACGCAGGCTGGGGTGCCTGGGTTGCTGTTAAGGAACTTAATTTAAGTTACTATATTGGGGAAACCCTATTAAATACCAAATTGTATCCAATTGTGGTGACTCAAATTAAGTTTCTTAACAGCAACCCAGGTGCTCTGCCTCCACCGCTGCGCGGAATCTCCGCCACTCCAAGTCCGTCTGAAGCCGCTCAGCTGGGGCAGGGCCAAAACAGCGCGGCAACGCTGCTGGCCTTCTTGTTGCCTGTGCCAGGCACTTGGCCGCCCTCCACATGACCAGAATAAGGGTTAGGTAAGGAGAGGGAGGAAGAGGGAGGGAGAGAGAGAGACATGGGGATATAAATACATGTAATAAAGCATTACATACGGGGATACCGGCTTAAGAAAAAAAACAGAGACAGCACACCCCAGAATCAAACCCAGAGCAAAGTGGAATCCGAAACGGGCACTGGGTTGTTCAAGGCTTTTCATAAACTCTGTGTGTGTGTGTTTCCGCTCTACCCTGGATAGAATTGGACCCCTCTTGTATCCATGCTCCGTGGTCAAGATCAACTGCTCTTGCGCAAGGGACTTTTGATTTCACCCAGTGAAACAGAGAAATAGAGCCAAACGCTGCGGCACCCGCTGTGCATGATTGCTGACCAACTTTCTAGCCTTGCTCACTCATGTCGTGATCCTCCTTAAACAAGTACAATCTCCCACAATAGGCTCCCCAGCATGAATGCTATGACCATGGCAAACCAAGCCAGGCTTGGAAATTTTTGGGTACTGGCACGGCCAAGGTTAGGGTTTCAGGTTTGGGGTAAAGGGTTTGGGACATGGGGGGATTTATGGGGAATATAAGGGTACATAGGGTTAATGGTGGAGAATCAACTGGAAAAGAAAAAGGAAAATCAAATTGAAATTTGCTTATATGTGGCTTTATACAGATGACCCGAAATAATTACCAGTATTTCAGGTCTGTCTGAAGGACCCTGCACCAAAAGTAAGGAATCTCGAACCACATAATATCTAAATCTAATTCCACGCTCCTGTAGTATTTGTATGTTAGGGTTGTGATCAGACTGGCTGTGACAGCTTTAGTTCCGATGTGTCACTCACCACTAACCTGCAAGTGCCTTTCCAGTCCTGGAAGGAACACGTCTGGATCCTCCTTCTTCGTCTGGGCATCTGTGATGAGATTGAGGACAGCTGAGCGTACATCATTCAAGTAGGGCGCCAATTCCTCCTTCTTGCCTAAGAGTCAAACTCAAGCAGTCTCCGACTACACTTAAAGGTCCCCTTAAGTAGATAGAAAATGGCTTTGGGTATATTTGGGTATATCATAATAAGATCCCCATGTACCCTATATTATATCTACATAAGGGGGACTATAGCTCTTCACTCTGTGAACGTGAACGAGTGCTGGTCCAGGACAGGCACATTTCTTCGTGATGGCAGTCAATGCCGCCATGGCAGTAGCCAGCGCCTCCAGGGCAGCCCTAGACATCCCTGAAACCCCTTTAGGTACAAGATTTGGGGAATTCCCAAAATTAGGGATACCATGTGGGGTGTCTTTTTAGTAAGGATTATAATATTTTGGGGTCTATATTGGGGTCCCCCTATCTAGGGTAACTACCATGTATACATGTATAAGCTTGCTGGAGACCGCGCCCGAACTTGGAATCTCTCAGCAAAGGCCACTAGGCAAACTCCTGCACTCTACGAGTATTGCAAAAGATGTACTACCTGACAAAAGCAAAAGCCCGCACCGGCCTCTGTGGACATAGAGTTTAGGGTTTAGGGCTTTTTGCGATCATTGCTTTTTCATCTCCACACTTTTATGAGCCACTGCTCAGGGGAATTTGTTACAGGGATTATAGGGTAAGAGGGACTACTTACTATTGGGATCCATTCCCCCAGCAAATTGTGCAGGGACTACTGAACGCAAACCAATGTCATTCTCAATTATACCAGGAATCTGGACTGTCATATGATCGATGACTCGTTCTTCAACATCAAGCTCCCTAGAACCACCATATCACTAGAGTCCATTTGATTTCTCATTTTCTTCGCCGTTTACTTCTCCACTGTTGGTAGTTGTTCAGAGTTCTAAACACTTAATCCTAAATCCTTAGCCCTAATCCCACAATATATACAAGCCCCGTGGCTGTGACCAGTGGCCTCCTCATCTTCGTCGGCAAGTGCAGATGGCAGAACGGCCGGCAGAGTAAGGCTTAGCACAGACACCACATCCAGGCCTCTGGCTCGGATTTTCTTCACAGCGAGCTGTCTTGCATCGATTTGTATATCTGTGTATACACAAACCCTACATTACATGTAGAATGTGCATGACTATATACATGTGCATGTGATGCCTTCTTGGCAGGCCATAGGACTTTCATCGCAAGAAGATCACAAGATCTACAGCGTAACTAGGGACAAGCCCAGTCTCCTGAGGTATAGTAGCGGCCTGGACCCTGTTGTGGCGAAAATCTTGCTGCAGCAGAGAGGCTGGTGTTCTCAAAGAAATGCTTCAGAAGCTGTGCAGCAACTTTGCGGTGAGAAGCGTTGTCCTTGTCCTTCATGCTGCGAGCATCTGCACGCACCCTATTCCAAGCGATTCTCCACAGGTGTCGCATGATCGAGCTTCATCTGAAGCTGTCATGTGCTCGAAGATAAGACTCAAGCATCATGGTGTTATAAACTTCATGAGACAGGAACCCTTTTTTTGCTGAAACCTTGCTACTAAGAGGTTACTGGGGAACCTAGCAGTAGCCACCGCGGTGTCTCCTGCATTGGCCCCTGCAGCTCTGTCATCAGCAAGGTCAAGCCGTCTTGCTCAACCGCATCCATTACCCTCGTGGCAGCTTCAACAGCAATTTCAGTCATCTCGGGTTGATCCTCATCCTGAGCTGCATTTTTTGAACTGGACATAACTGGCAAATTGTGACCAAGGAAGGCCTCAGAGGGGCTTAAAGTTGGGTTTTAACACAGCTATAACTGAGCATCTGTCCACGCACGCTTCTATCAGTTCGACGTGTTAATGGGTGTCTGCAGCTGGTGTGTCAGCTTGGCTTCCATATATGCCCCCAATGAATATCACTCTGGGGCTATGGCGAAATGCTCTTACCCAGCCAAAGGGAAATGGGCACAACCGGATGTGCAGAACGAGAGGCATCAATGCTGGCCACCTCGATGAACACAGGCATGACGTCCGAAAGGTGTTCTCAGCAGGTTTCCGGCAGCAAGGGAAGCGGTGCATTGCTGTTATCATTACAATACTGTGGCGACTACTAGCGTTACTGCTACTGTTTGGGCAGGGATGCTCTGGTCATCGAACTCATGAACAGACAAACGTTATTATGGTTTGGGCACGGATGTTCTGATAAGCGTATGCGCTTGAAACAGGCACGCTATTACGGTTTGAGCATGAATGCCATGACATGCCCTCACCAGGCGACTGACATAAGTTGCATCATCATCTGCTGCTGCTGCTGCTGCTGCTGCTACTGCTACTGCTACTGCTACTGCGACATACTGCGACTGCGACTGCTACTACTGCTGCTGCTACTCCTACTCCTCCTCCTCCTACTCCTACTCCTACTCCTACTCCTACTACTACTACTACTAGTACTACTACTACTACTACTAGTACTAGTACTAGTACTAGTACTAGTACTAGTAGCACTACTGCTGCTGCCGCTCGTCCTCCGCCTACTAGCAGCATCTTTGCAATTGTTTGGATCGACACATCCTGCTGTCAAGAGCATTGTCGCCAAGTAGCTGTGGATTGTGTGGCTGTCAGGAATCACAGCTAAGGAAGCAAGTCCTTGCACCTGGCACGCATCATCGAATGCGTACAGGATTGACGAAGAGAGACAGAACAAACCATGGAAACAGATCGTTGCTAAAGACACTGTCAAACAGCAGCGGTGCGGCGGCGAACTTGAGTTGATGGCTAACTTTGTTCCGTGCTGGTTCTATCTTCTGAGTGCTGCTGTCACCGACAAATAGCAGTTGGGGGGCGCAGGGCCATACAAGGCAGGGCAAGGGCCGTTAGTTGCCACTGCCGCATTTCATTGCTACGAAGCTGATTCTGCTGCAACCCATGCCGGCGCTGCTACTTACACTGCGGCTAGTGCCACTGCTGCCACTGCCAACAACATCAGGGTTGTAATGTGCAGGGAAACTTTATGGGCTCTGGGCAGGGGGTACCAATATGCACTTGGCATGCGGCGATTCTCCGAGGCTTGTAAAGGTTCGTGCTGAACGCATGTAAGAATTTTTGTGGGAAACGTGCATGTTAGCTGCGGCCTGTAGCCGTGTCCATCCGCTCTCCGCAGGAGACGTCAAGCGGCCGAGGACGAGGTCCTTCACAGCTCCTGCTGTCAACATGAGGTTAGGGTGGCAGGTAGTCACCAAAACAGGGATGCCGACTGGAAAAGCAATAGCCGCAACAATAAGCATGAGACACATAGGGCACCAATCATAGATACAACACTACTAAGCAAATAAGCATAGATCATACAAGACCATTCAGAACTAATTGGGTTGCCGTTAAGAAACTTAAACTACATGACTACAGTAACTAGATATGAGCTATATAGCCGTAAAATGGTAACTTAAATCAAGGTCGTTAACAGCAACCCAAACAAAGGTAAGACGTCGGCAGCTTCTGTAAGGAAGGACACCTGGCTGCTTCTTCATGAGCTGCTCCAAGCCGAGCAAATATACGTCACCATCTTCGACAACCTCGGTTTAGGGTTTCACGGTGCCATCTTCAACAACCTTTTGCTTACTGGTGCTTAGTAGGGAGTAAGGGAATATAATTCCTGTCGAATACATACTCTCTTGTTCCCTGCGTTTCAGTTTGGGGACAACTCACATGGAATCACTCTATACTCGCATTATCATCCCTCTAAGAAGGCCGCCTTGTGACCCTTCACCGGCCCCAAGAATGCCCCCAAATGGGGGCTTCAAAAAAAACGAGGGGTACCAATTTGGGGTTCGTATTTTAAGGATTCTAATATTTGGGTCTAGATTGGGGTCCCCTTTTTCTGGAAACCACCATATGAACATGAGGAAAATCAGTAGCGCAGGAGATGTAATAGTGGAAATCGTATTTGAAGTAGCTGCAGTAGCAATACTCTGCGGAGCACCTAGCAATATTCATGTGCAATCATTATCGTGAATCTTCGTCTTCAGCAGTGCAGTAGCAAGGATGCCATTTCCTGCCTGGGTACTTATCATTGCCGGGCTTGAGACCTGTCTTCCCGAATCTTCGTGTCACCGCTGGACTTGCGCAGTTACTGCCCTCTACAGCGGCTAGCAGCTTCACGAGGTCACATGCGGCAGCAGCGTTCAGTGCTGCTGAGCAACCTCCTCCAGCAGCTGATCCAGCAGCCATTCAACAATCTCGTTGGTTGCACGCGTTCCTACAGCGTTGTGAAGCAAAGCCACAACCTGAGCTCCCCCTCCAGCCCTTCTCCCGAGTGCCCGGCACATGCACGCGCAGCAAAAGCCCCGAAAATTCTGACATCATAGTACATGCTAACCAGTCAAAAGCTGCGTACATAATCACACCACCTTATCTTATAAAGTAGCACCATGGAACCAAAGTGCTGGCAAAGCGCGCAAACAGAGCCTACAGTTGCCACAACAACTTGCAGGGGAGGCACCGTGCTGGCTTGCAGCCGCACCGCTTCATCATCATCAATCAGAGCTTGCTGGATGGCAGGAATTAGCTGTTCCAAGTACGTCGTGAGCAGCTCCTACCGGCTGATATAGGGTTAAGGCGTTTAGGGTTGTATGATGTATGCCTGAAGTAGTAGAGACACTAATGGACAGGAAATCAAACATGGCATAGGAACTGGGATTTTGTAGAGGTTTATAGAAGTCGGAGTAGGGTTCGGTCAGGAGTCTCTCTTCGAGGGTATGTATCGTAAGCATTTTGCTTGTACAAAGCCTCGACTGATTTTCCACAAGTGAGGAACAGTACTCACAGGGTACCAGCTCATGGCAGGGATCACAACCCTTCGGCTTGGGGAACCTATAAGATCATATGAGAGCATCGTTTAAAGACTTTACAACGAGCGCTTTACAAGGCTTTATAAGGACCGTATAGGGATTATGGACAATGAACATCAACAATAATGCAACCTGCCCCATGATCATGATCACAGTGTCAAAGCCCAGTGTCAGGCCGCTTCACCGCTCATGATGATGCCATGCGCAAGCGTGATGATGAAAGATGAAAGCCACGGCTGCAATGGCCAGAAGTAGTTACAAGATGGGCATGCTGATGCAGTCGTGGAGGAAATCTGCGCATCAGCCCAGCTTCCCAATTACTCCTCGTAGCACCGCCCAAAAAAACATCCCAATGATGATGACCATGAGAAAGTCTCATGTGATGCGAGTATTGCTAGCACGCCTAGAAAACCATTGTGCGCGCAAAAATCCTTCTACGAAGTTGCAATGGCCACCACAAGCGCCAGCTTCATCGCCACCAGCATCACGACTGACGCGATAGATATTCTTTTTGAACCATAGCTGTTACGGCGCTCTGTGAGGTGGAGCTGCTATGCAGATTGCGGGACCCCTCCTTGACATCATTTATCAGGCTTTCCTTAAGCAACTCCCACACGTCCTTCGTTGTTGCATTGATAAGCTCGGCAAGTCCAAGGCATACGCCTTCGCGCACGTGGGTGTCGCCTGGCTTGGACAAAGCAAGGATGGAATCATGGGCGCTGATAGTGGCATTCTAACCCGCAGAATCTATTTCATGTTGAATTCTAATTTTCTTACCCATTGGATTCTCGACTGTTGGGGTAGTAGCCCTCTAGAAACCACGGGGATCCCCATGATGTCCCTCATATCGTCAGCTGTTCTCAATGGAAATAATAATTAACAAGCACAGCTAGTAGTGATTCATTATTGATGATAATTTACGATCGTAATGATACTAAGAAATAGTATCAGAAAAACAGCTCATAACAGCAATAGTTTCCCTATGCATGCGGTTGAGCTTGTGCCCCTGCGCTGGGGTAGCGGCCTTCCGACAAGGTGTCCATGAAAATGGGCATCAATTCGGGCATCACACGCTCTCCTGAGCTAAGGGGTAGGGGGCCCAAATTTTTCAGGGCTCCATAGTGGCTACACAGGGATCAAGGGTGAAAACTGAAACAACTGCTTATGTGCCCCATCTAGCCAACAAGCTCAGCTCACGGAGGTAAAGCTCCAGACATCACGAACCAGGATCCAGACCCAAGACATCTAGGCTGGAAACCCAGCTAGACACTGTGACAGTAGGGGAGTTATTTATGCGTACCAGCGCTTTTGGTTCCCTTGAGACATGACCAGGTGTGCATCTATCGCTGCGGAGCGTCCAAGCTTACTCACAAGATCGCCAACGCATCGGGCAGCCACTCGCTGACGTTCGCGATTTGTTGAAGCCAGATTTGCCTGGGGCATGCCAAAGCAGCAAAGCGCATCCGTACAGTGTAGCTCCGAGCCGAAAGCATGAATGAAGTCCACGGCAAACTCCTACCATTCAAATGCATGCTGACTTAGGTGGGGTGGTTTGACAGGGTGTTAGTCCATTCGACTGTCACTGCTGCGTTCTGTCTGTGGTGCCAGCTCTGCAACTACGCCTCTCTTGGTGAAGGTCTGCTGGGCTAAGCTGAAGGCCATTGCGGGGGTCGCAAAAGTGAAGGTAGCCGAACTTCGCTACAGTAGCATCTAGAGGCCCCCGCCCAAGTTCTGCCAACCCCCCATGCCGTCTTGAGTATGCTGGTGCTATAGCGCTGGGGTTCTGAAGGGGACCCCGCATGAGGTGTACACACGCACATGTTCTGCACTGCTTCGTGCTGAATCAATCTCACGCCAAGTCACAATCAGGCGGGTCATGAGTGTTGGCAGCAGCTCCTTGAGTGTTCTGGGCGGATTCTGCACCACGGCCTTCCAGACCTGCTGACAGGCCTGCTTCACCATGCCATTCCTTGGAGGGGGAGAGAGAATTCAATGGTTACTCTTAGTATCACCATTATTACCGTTATAGTTATGATTCTCAGTAAACTGTTATTGCTATTAGCTATTATTACTTCCATGATTATTGAACCATCTGCCAGAAAGGTGCTCATCGCTGCGCACAATGTACAAAGAAGCCAGCATGTGGCATCGCCACTCCTTTGGCAGTGCCTCCACCTCAAGCTGCAATCGTCTGAAATCAAATCGGTCGCTGTAACCCGCTACGCCTGATAATGAACGAGCCTCCACTCCTTTGATAAGAAACATTTCCCAACATACTATGTTGGGAATGCTTACTCTCTTACCATAAAGGGCTGGAGTATGGGGTTGTATTACTACGTGCTAACGCTGTAAGAGGGATACCGTTTAGCGACCAGCAGGCTGTCAGTAAAGTCTGAAATGAACGTATGGGATATAGCGACCGTTCTTCGAAGACGCTAGAAACCTACGAGTATAGGGATGCATTCCGGAATTCCCTGCTAACTGCCAGCGAGTTGAAATTGGGGTCGCAGGAGATGGCTTAGGGCTTCTGCCTACAAGAGCGCGCGCTTCTGTGTAACTGGAACTAGAACAGCTAGAGCGAGAAGCAAGGACCTGCAATGCCATGACAAAAAGGCGGATCCTATTCACACGGGTCTCTTTCCAACCCCCAATATAAACTCCGCACAACCCAGCAAATCGAAACACCCTTCACAAGCAGCTGGGATACTTGCAGCTTTTTTGGGGCATCTTGGACACACGCAGAAAAGGGATGTTCGTCAAACCCTTAACACCCTCAAACGCTCAACCCTGCTGGAATATGCGGCTGTCTGCAAATCCGTACTAAAATTTTAGACAGCCAGGATCTTGCGTAGGTATAAGCCCCCGAAAAATCGCAGATTCAAATCCATTTTCCATGTTTGTTTCCCTTTGACTGTGCATCATTTCAGGGCTAGCGCTAGCGCACTGTAGTTGTGGTTAACTATTTTTTCAGCACAGGCTTGATGGACTGATACTAAACTACCTATTCCCCTAAGCCACCATAAACCCAACTAGGATCTCTGGATACCCTATAAAACCCTAAGCCCCATATGATCTATAGTCTAAGCTCCTAGTATCCCCTGCATAAACCGTATAGTACTCCCCTACATAATCCATTACATATCCCCTCTATGGAGTTTTAGACTATAGCTCATATAATTACAGTTCCCCATGCATTGTCCATGTTCTTTTTGCATTCGATTCTCCATGGTCGGCAATGCTTTAGGCCTGTAACCCAAAATCCCTAACCCTAATCCCTACATATGCCTATTTACCTCTTAGCCTCTATATATTTGTCTGTAAGCACGTATGTATGTGTGTATGTATGTATGTATGTCTGTATGTATGTAGGTATGTATGTAGGTATGTAGGTATGTAGGTATGTAGGTAGGTAGGTAGGTAGGTATGTATGTATGTGGTGCATGTATGCAAGGTATTGGTGTGTGTATCTGTGTATGTATAATATGTATGTATGTATAATATGTATGTATGTATGTATGTATGTATGGTATGTAGGTATGTAGGTATACAGGTATGCACGCATGCATGCATGTATGTGTATGTATGCCGCGCAAATATGCATGCATGTATGTGTATTTGTATGTATGTCTGTATGTAGGTACGTACGTACATACTGTATGTATGTATGTATGCATGCATGTATGTATGCATGCATGTATGTATGTATGTATGTCTGTATGTATCTGTATGTGTATGTGTATGTGCATGTGTATGTGTATGTGTATGTGTGTGTATGTCTGTGTCTATGTCTCCGTGTGTCTGTGTCTTTGTTTGTCAGACAGCCTGTTTGATCTGGCCTGCATCAGCTCAGCACTGTTCGTCGGGATGCGATGGGCGCGTAGGATTTGCTGAATCCTTGCACTTGACTTACTGGTGCTAAAGGGGGAGCGGGGAGTGAATAGTAATATAGTAGTGGTAGTGGAATAGTAATAAGTAATAGAATAGCATAATAACACAATAATATGGCAATATAGCAGTATAGCAACATGGTAATATAGTAATATAGTGGGATATGCAGGGATTGGCCCTCCCCTTCAAGCACCGGCAAGTAGAGGGTTCGGGGCTCTGGCTTTGCAAGGGCTTCGCCACGGTACAGGAGGCTTGACAATTACAGCGGTAAGCTACCCTATAGAAGCCTTCTAGATCATCTTATTTCCCCGCCTCCACACCACAAAGGCATTACGTACCCTTTCCACTTCAAGTACGTAGTCCTCCCCTCTTGACTCAGCCTCCCCTGAAGAGGCCCTGATGAAAGTCGGCTTAAAGCTGCCGATTCATATGAGCTGTGTGTTGCTGTACGTGCACGTATCCGGAGATGGCGGTTTATGGAGCTTCAAATTGAAAAATACTGGCTGCTTGGCTACTGGCTTGCCCAAGGTTTTACTAATGCACACCACTCAAGAACTCAAACACAAACCAACGCCCATACCTTCTGCCTGGACGCCTTAAAACCATAACTTGATGCCTACACATCCTAATATAGACCCCAATATAATATAACCTTCATTATTTGGAGTTTCCATTTTCCATTATCCTGTATAACTCCAATATAACCCCTATATATTCCCTTTTTGTATTATGGTAGTTTCCATATTCTTTTCGACTATCCCTATATATAAACACAATATAGCACTTATATAATTCGAGAGGGGTCTGTCAAGACTGGCGGCAGTTGCCCCATCAGTTGAATGGCTCCGTGACGTACCCGCCAATCCACCACGAAGACGCCCTGGAAATTCAAATACAGAGGTTGACCCCTTCACAGGGTTATGTAGGGGATCATATAGGGCTTAGGGTATGGGTCATATAGGGATAATATATGGGCCCTGGATATTCAGCTATATGGCTAATATATGGGTGATTTAGGGGTACATAGGGTTATATGGGGCTGTTTAGGGTTATATAGGGGATGTGGGGGATGTGTAGGGGTAGAAAGATCATGTAGGGGCCTATAGGGATTCTGCCCCAATAATGGAGAATCAAATGAAAAGAACATGGAACATGAAATGGAAACTAAGGAATTTATTGTTTCCAATGAGCAGACTGAGCTCTCGACGAGGGAATATGTAGGTCAAATAAGGATGGATCTATTCATGGCCACATTTGTGATAAACAAAACTTTTGCAGCAAGACTTCCGTGATTCTACTGTGTGTGCTTTTCTTGCTACGACGACTCGGAACAGTAATTGTAGTGATTCATCCTCTTTGTAAAGATGATGCGAATAGAAAGAATCTCAAGCCCCGATCTCATGACAAATATCACTATTCTACATGAGCTATAGTCTAAACTCCTCGTATCCCCCTTAATAACCCCCATCATACTCCCCTATATAATCCCACATAGAAGCCCCTTTAAGGACTTTAGACCCTAAACCCTAAACTAATCCCTAAACCCCATATAGCCCCGTATATAACCCCCCTTTAAGGAATTTTAGACTATAGCTCACGTGATGAGGATCAGAGCTCCTTTACAGTGCTCTAAGCCCAAAACCGCGTGTGCAAACTTTACGAACTACCTTTTTAGAAGACCTTCAAAGCCCTTTAGGGTTTAGGCTTGCCAGCCCACCAAACAGAGGACGAGCTCCAATTTTGGGAGTCCTAGGAATGTGAGGATGCCCTTAAATACACCCAAATGCTATGTTCTTTCTTGTGGTGGCTCCAAACAGGAAAGGCACCCGTAACTTGCGGCAATCCTCAATCAACGACTCCATTAAAGGGGCCCCCCTAATTCCTGGAAACCCTTCGATCCAGTAGCCTCCTCCAAGGGTGGCAGCAGCAAAGCAGTGTGGGATGAGCCAAAATGCCTGATCACCACCTGCGCCGCCTGCGTAAAAGGGATACTCCCTTCAGGATTTAGGTTCCCCAAGTACTTAAGGCAGAACCGGATAAGAACATAGAAAATTTAATCAGATGTTATGTAGGGTTCTATAGGGATTACCTCCCCTTACCAAAACCTTCCCTTCCCCCTATACTGCTTCCAATATAATCCAAATGTAGATTCATACTGGGAATTTCTATCGGGAATTAGGGAGCGGCTACACTTATTAGGGGGAATCTAAGGACGACGTCCTTCCCGGCCTGGAGGGCGTATGGTGTGGAAGTAGCACTTGGGCTGGGGTGGACCAGACACGGGGCTAGCAGCAATCTATTTCGTAAGTAAAGCGTTGAGGGTTAACGGCTACTTGGTGAATAGATTTCATAAATGCCTTTTACAGTATCATTAGAGATGAAGGCAATTAGAGATAAAGGCAAGAGCATAATCCCTATAGTGCCAACAACTACATAGTCAATGTATTGCCATGGGGTGGATAAACTTGCAATGGACAGGGAGTACTGATGGCCATGAACAGAATTGCAACATTGCTACTTCTTCGACCACTTGTCATGTTCCCGGTCCGCAGCAATGATGGCGCGAACTATGCATGAGGATGGTGGTGATGCTGCGGCTGCAGCATGCACAGGAGCCAAGGGTCCCTGTGAATTTATTGAATGGTCCACAAGACCCCTCTGATAGCCTCTGGCACTATTTCCAATCCCTGCTCGTGGGCTTGTGCATATGACGGCCCATTTGTGTTTGCAGCAACTGCTACCAGCACAAAACACTCTGCGTTTCCCCGCTGTGGCCTTCAAGGCCGTGTCGCGCACAGATGCAGTATCATCGGACATGCCGTCCAGCAGCGTGGTTAGAACTTCTTCCAGGTAGGGCCTGCGTGCTAAGCAGGAAATAACTCCCAAACTCGGCTAGGTTTGGGGACCCTGCAAAATTTACACACATTTTTACGGCTTCTAGGGTTCGTACAAGGATGATACATAAGAGCAATGGCAATAAACATGAAACATGTTGAAACCTACGGCGGAAAAAAACAGTAACACCCATAGCAAACGGAAGGGTATTTGGTAACGGTTTCTGTAGCGATTCAGATGGCCAACGCACGTCTCCCCAGCATCTCACAAACAAAGCAGAAATCATTTCCTCATGCAGAGGAGCTGCTCGAAACTGCTTCCCATGGCAGGCGGAAGGTATTCGAACAACCCCAGGTAACCTTAGAGTGCAGCAAGCTGAGAAAGCACAGAAATACATCTGCTTGATAGCTGTCATGCAAAACTTGCAATGCACCACTCACATTGTCGGAAGCAGGCTACTCATGACCAGAGTACTTTGAAAACGCAGCCTTCCCTCCAAAAAACCTTAAATCAAAGCCTTTATCACGTAGCGCCACAAATGGAGCCCATAGTTTTGCAAAAAGAGGCTCTCACCGGATCGGTGACGCCCTCCAAACCCGAAATGCTACTTTCCGTTTTCTTGTCCATTATCCCTATATAACCCTATATAGCGAGATCCTATAACCCTATATAGACCGTACAACCCCATGAAAGAGCTCCTATATGACCCTATATGAGCCACTGTCTAAACTCCTGGTATCCCCCTTAATAATCCTTATGGTAGTTCCCCTATAGAATCCCCTATATAATCCCCCTTTAAGGAGTTTAGACTATAGCTCATATGGGTGGTTGTCAAAATCGTGGTCCTTTTTTGGATCCCTATTATAGTACGGCACCTAATATTTAGGGTACCCAAAAAGGGACTACAATTTTGGTAACGACCCATATAACCCATTATAGTAGTTTCCATTATCCCCAATATAACCACCCATATAACACCTAATTCAAGAAAAAGCACCTTCTCTGGTCAGAGGTTCCGCATCCTGTCAGGGCTGTGGATAGACTTAAGGGTTTAGGGATTAAGGTTTAGGGTTTGGGGTTTAGGGATTAAGGTTTAGGGTTTGGGGTCTAGGGTTAGTGGTTTAGGGATTAAGGTTTAGGGTTTGGGGTCTAGGGATTAAGGTTTAGAGTTTAGGGGTTAAGGTTTAGTCGTTAGGGCTTAGTGGGCCGCAAGTTTACAGAAGGACACAGGTCCCCATTTGGTCTTCTGCTTGGATGCGCTTTCAGAGGCCGCAAGTACGGGAACCCAGGTTTGGGTGCCCAGATACGTTTGAGGGAAACGCGCCTTGTAGAGAAGAGATATTGCGAATATACTTGCAAGATCAGGATTCATTTGCAAGTAGCCTGTGAGGCGCCAAGCGCAGAAACCTTCTCGTGAGCAGCTAAGAGGCGACAACAAAATCCCAGACACCCTAGACCCTAAACCTTTTCGCATCTGGGCTCGCACACCACCCTAAACCCTACACTCATGACCCTGCTTGTCGAAATCCAAAGACTGCGAAAGCAATCTGGGTCCTTGTTGCTGGCATTGAGCAAGATGTCTGGCAAAAGCCTGGGAAAGTTAAGGGTTTAAGGTAGGGTGCACATTCTTTGATTGAACGTTGCTTCAAACATGATCAATGAAAATTGAAGAGGACTGCCCAAGGAGGTCCGCAGCCCAGCCGGGTTTACCCCCACAGGCCCGCAGGAGGGTTCTCACAGCCAAGCCCTAGACACTAGCCCAGACTCCTAGACTCTGCGGTACCTAGATCTTTATACCCTTCTAACCCTTGATGGGGATGCCTGAGTTTGTATGAAAAATGACTAAGTGTCATGTTGGGTAGACTAGAAAAGGTAGGGTGTAAGATTCGAAGCAGCTAGATTTTGAATGCTTTAGTTAGTGACCACCACGGAAAATGGCAATCATGTTGACTTGGGGTCCCTATATCTATAGATTCCAAGCTGCTCCTGCACTCGATCGGGACCTTTCGCCATGAGGACCTGTGCAGAAAAATGTTGGGTATCTGTAAAGGGAATATAGGGGTTAGATTGGGGTTATATAAGGATTTTATAGCAATAACGGAATATTAGATGGAAACTGCTAGTTCGGGTTTAGGGAGGTTAGAGATCACCCAGACCTCCGCAATACCTGAAGTTGCCTCTCAACGCCGGAAACGGGCTGTATAGACAGTTCTTCGTCATGTCCTACCGAGGCCTCAGCAGATGAAGGTAATCACGCCCTGCTCAGTAAACCTGCCGAAAGCGTCCAAAGCTTAAAAAAAATCAGCAGTGTCAACTGCCTCAAGTAAAAGGACCAAAAGCAATGCAGCCACTCCAATACAGAACTGAAACTCTCCCCGACCCTTTGTTGACCTCCACTGGGTTACTGATCAAGAACTTAAAAGTAAGTTACCACAATATGGGTAGATAGTAAGTCTTGGAGTAATCTGACTCAAGTTCCTTGACGGCAATCCAGTCTAATCCCCTCCTCCTAATATTAAACCCCCCCCACCCCCCTAAAAACCAATACTCCCAATATATTCTAACATACCACATCATGGGAATATTTAATATTAGGGGGGGCGGGTGGAGGGGTTTCATACTAGGGGAAGGGGAACCCTAAACCCTAAATCCCTACACCCCAAACCCCTAAACCCTAAACCCCATTTTATAGTAGTTTTCATTTTCCATTCTCTCTTCCATTATCCCCACATACCCCTAAATATACCACAATATACTATAATATGAGTCCTGGCCCCAAGCCTGGCCTCTGAGAGGCCGTGTGCGGCGCCAGTCCGCTCCACATTGGACTCAGGCGACTTCCTTAGCTTGCTAAAGGGTTTAGGGCTCGGGGGTTTTTAGTGGTTTAGGGCTTTAGGGTTTTGACGGGTTTTTGGGGGTTTAGGGTTCAAAACTAGGCGCCACCGTAATCATTCAAGGACTTGGTAAAGCTGAGATATGCAGACATGATACAGATTTTCCTTTCCCTGACGTCATACGGTTCGTCCGAACTGGAACCCTCAAACAGGTGATAAAGCCCTCTGTCTACAGACAAAAACCACTAAATTCAATCTCAGCAAGGCTCAAAGGACCTTGGCATCCTTAAACGCCAGGATCAGTAGAGGTTTCCGGAAATGTATGGGTCCACCACATTTAGGGCCGACGTTCAGCCCCCCATTCATGGAAACACCCATCCCATGAAATGCATGATGTGAAAAGGGAGGGGCGCGCTGCGCCTTTTTCCAGGGATTGTGTCAGCATTTGTTCAGGCTTCATGCTTCACTGATGCACGCTGGATTCCTGGCAAGGAACATGGTACTGTAGGAACTGTACCATCCTGTCTGGAGCCTTCCTGACTTCCTGACCAGCAACTTGTCCCCTCAAGCCTTAAACCCCTTCCAAGATACAAACTCCTAAACCCTAAACGCCAGTGGCAACCGTGCGGCAGCATCTCGAAAAGCCACTGCATGACCCCGATCTCTTCGGGATTCTTCGGACCTGCTATCTGTAGGGCGCACAAACAATGCAAGTCTCTCCAAGCTTAATGTGGGGCATAGGTTCGCTTGTAAGCCATCGCATAACCGCACATGACTCACGTCGCAAACTACAACCAAGGTCTTGCCTCACCAATGGTACTTTGCCGTGATCTGCCCTCTTTGCTTTTAGTACTTGTGGTTTTGGTTGTTGGCACATTGGAGACTGGTCCTACATTACAACCCACAACGTGGATGACTGGTGACCAATCATGATCACGATGGCTAAGCGAGCATATCGCTGATGTCAACCTCGCTAACTCCCCCCCAACTCCTGTTTGTCACAATCTAAGGACTACGGTAGTGACCTACGGCGCATTTCCCAACTAAACATTCTTGAAAGCAATGACTCTCAAAAATGAGGTTAGTAAACAATAGAGGCAATTTTGGACCATACTTCCAGGCAATCAACAAAATGCCACCGGCAGTAACCTTGACTTTTCTGACTTTTCTGGGTAGCAAAACATGGGAATCATCTTACCATCTCCTGACTGTAGCAAAACCCAGACAGGATGTCAAATAAAGGTACTGATTCTGGACGCCAGGCCTAGCATGTCCTCTGGCAGCACCTGTGCCAGTATGCCAAAAGCTTTTGCAGACGTTGCACGCCTTGGTTACTATGCAAGATTGACATGATATGGTAATTACTCCTACAAAAACCTATATGACCCCAGTCTCCACTACGTTTTTCATGTTGAATCCTTTCAGTTCTCCATTCTTGGAGTAAGATCCCTAAACCCTACATAATCCTCAGCCACCACTTGCAGTTGGTGGCGGTTCTTCCGCTGCTACTGCTACTGCCTTAACACTTGATGGTGCTATTCCCATCTGAAAGCTTTCGGGCTGCTCCTAAGTCCTAAGACTAATGCAGTACAGACGCAAACAAAAGGCAAGCCAGGGCACACATCTGGAATAGGATCGACCAAGGTAAGCTTCAGTTGAGGCAGAAGAAGTGGCAGGTAGGGTTGAATGTCCTTCGGATCCTGCAAAAGCTTGTACTTAAAGCATTCAATGAAGGCTTCGTGGCACGGCAGTGAGAAAAGCTACCTGAAGCTCTTGCGTCCTTGATCAACATGACCATGGAACCCACAATTTGCGCACCCTTGCGCTTCATCTCGGCAGACCGCTCTTTGAGAGCACGCTGAATGACGGGACACACCTGCCAGGAGCTGGCATGCACGAGGCCAGGTCTTCTGAGCTACAACGTGGATGTGTATAAAGAATGAAAACTCATCTGATGCCCAGACGCCAGGGACAGGGATGGCGCATCCACGTGTGTGGCGAAGGACGTGCCCAAGAGCTTGTCCAGCACATCGCGGGTGATATGTTCGTACCTTGCCAATACATACACAAAATTGCAAGGTTCAGAGGCTCTGCGAACCCGCTAAGTGCCTCCTCCTACTCATAGGCACTTGCAGGCCACTCTCAATTGTGATCTGAGGGAGAATTGTGACTCAGGATAGCTACGGCAGTTCAAGTTCAGTGGGAGGAGAGTGCCAGCTTTGCGAACGGGCCACTGAGCACCGTCCGTCAAAGCTGAGATGAGCTCCGGCGCGATAGCTCTAAGCTCAGGGCCTTGCGACACATGCATCACATTATTATTATTACTATTATTACTATTTATTATTACTACTATTATTGCTATATATAATACAACCCATTATAGTAGTTTCCATTTTCTTTTCCATTATCCCCCATGTAACCCTAATACTGAATCTCTGAAAATTGGCAACTCATTTTGGAGGGATGAGAAGACAGGAGCCATGACTTCGGTAGATTCCCATCTGGGTAGGTCCTCAAACGGAAGCCACATTCAACACAACCCGTCTCAAAAATCAAGGTCTACCGCCCATGAACAGAATGCATTCTTCAGTCAATGGATTTCATCAAGCAGGCTTTTGATGATGTCGGCAATCTTGTTGAAAGCTTCTCGCGCCGCCTCTTTCACCTGTGATTTCCACCAAAGTGCAATCAGTAGTGCATGAATCAAACTGCACCCACTGCTTAACTTTGCCTTGACATGCTCATCATTGATGACGTTGCAGAGGGCAGGGACCACCTGCCCACAGCGTCAGGAATCATAGGCGTTACATTCATGGGCTCCCGTGCTACCCCGCCTGCATACAACCCCTCCCCCCCTCACCCAGGTCCTCCCTTGATTAACGCTGACTCCCCTAAAGAGCCTTAACTAGGGGGAGGGGGAGGGGAGGCGGGGCTTGATTTCGCTGGCAGAGGCACGGCAATGAGTTACAACAAGTTGGAATCACAAGCTTTTATATACCTCGACACATCGTACAACAGATGTCTGCGGATATATCTACATAATGTACATACCTTACATGAAGATACATACGTGTACCTGTACACATGGAACCATGCATAGATGCGTACAAGGCATAACATGGGGGATTGTCAAAAGTACCGTCCCTGTTTCTGGGTGTCCTGAATATGAGAGGGCCTTCGAGTACTGTTAGGGAACTCAAAACGGGGACCGCAATATTGGTCAACAGCCTGCCATGTGATGGTACAGTAGTTGTTCAAAATACCTGTCCCCAAAGTGGCCGCAAGACAGGTCTTGCTTGTTTAGGGTTTCGGGTTTATGAGACTAGTATTCCAGATGGGCCCTCCTTTGCAAGGACGTTCAGAAGCATCCTACACCCTGACCCATAACCGATCCAAACCCCGAAACAGTAAATCCCTAAACCTAAACCCCCAAACCCTTAAACCGTATCCTGTGCAAGTATTTTGGGGTCTATATTGGGGTCCCTTTCGTTATAAACACTGGCACAACGGCTGCCAAAAGTTGCACAGGGGACTAACCCTATAAACCCGAAGCTCTAAACCCAAATCTCAAACCCTAAGCACTAAAACCCTAAATCCTAAACCTTAAAACCTTAAACCCTTGATCCTAAACCTAAAGACCTTGATCCCTAAATCAAAACCCCTAAAAACCTTAAAACCTTGAGACAGTGAACCCCTAGATCCTTTCCCTTCAGACCTTGCAATCCTAAACCTTTAAATGTTAAGGTCTTAAAGCAAAACTCAACCCTTGGAACGAAACAGCAAAGATCCTAAACGCTGAAACCCTGAAACCCTAAACCTTCAAATATAAAACTCGAAATCCTAAGCCTTAAGCCAGGTGTTGCTCCATGGCCTAGACCCTAAATCCTAAACCTAAACTTCCAATCCTAGACCTTAAACCCTAGATAATAAACCCTAAACCCTACATCCTAAGCCCTAAACCCTAAACCCTAAACCCCCAATGGCCTGCGGGAGGCAAGCTCCGAGGCGCTCCCGGGCGCAGCTCGTCATGGAGGCAAGCATTTCGATACTGCCCAACTTGGTCCGCCACCTTTGGGGAGGTAGTACTCTCTCTCTCTATATATATATATATACACACATATATATATAGACATATATATATATATATACATATATATATATACATATATATGTGTGTGTATGTATATGTATGTATATGTGTATATAAATATGTGTGAATATATTCACACATATAAACACACACACATACATACATATATATATATATGTGGGTGTATAACCCTCATCTTTGGGAATCTAGATTTCTATGTGTCGAGCCTTTTTTGGGCAGCGTAGGGATTTAGGGATTAAGAGCTTATGATTCTGGGGTTAGAGGATTAGGATTTCGGGTCTAGGGGTTCTTCTTTGAGGGTTCACGGCCCGAAACCCTAAACAATCGGGTTGAGGCTTATGTTCACAGTTTCGGGTTTAGGATTTGGGGGCTTAGGGGTCAGGGCTTTGTGATCTGAAGTTGCCCTTACAACCCTAGAGACATCCGTTTGCGGTGCTGCAAACATGTTCAATTTTCCTCACATGGCCGCACAAAACGTTTCAGAACTGCCGAAAGAGATCAGAAATCTAATTTCCTTAGGCTTTAGGGTTCCCACGTATCCTTAGAACTGCCTTGCAATCCCGGTGTTCATGCCCAGAACGATGGAACGGCAAATCTGAAGGAAGCCCCATGTGGTAGTTTCCCGAAATAAGGGGGCCCTAATTTAGGCCCCAAACTGCTTTAATCCTTATTATAGGGACCCCAAAAAGGTACCCGTGGCGTTGAAAAATCCCAACCACTATATTGCAGTTTACATTTCATTTCTACTTTTCTTTTCCATGTGATCCTCCATCATTGGGGTTTTATGTCTATATGTTTTTCTATATATACACGCTATAAGTATAATTCTGGGAGCCCATGTGCGTCTAGCCACGGCGAAGTCCTGTCCTCGATGGCTCGCAACAGAGGTTGCAGAACCTGGTCCCGTGGGGTTTTGGTAGTTTAGAGTTTAAGGTTTAGGGTTTAACAGGTTTAGGGTTTACAGGTGTAGGGTTAGGAGCCTTATGGTTGAAGCAAGGGCTATGGGGATAAGGACTAGCAGGGCTGTTACCTGAAACGTAGGGTGCCCGCAGGGTGCCATCTAAGCCTCCGAAGGGCGGCCAGAAGTTTGATGACAGCCCTTACAGCCACCAGTCCCAACCCAAAACCCAAAACCCTAGTAGTCTTTACTTTCGCAAGGGGGAGAAGGGCAGTTCCATGAGTAAGCACGTGCCTGCTTCACGCCAGGGCCGCTGATCTGGGACATCATGGCGTTGGCTGCCACCTAAGATATGTGCTACAGTCCATATGATTTTGGGTTTAGGATTCAAGGTTTAGGTTTTGAATGGCTACAGTCAATAAGATTTAGGGTTTAGGATTCAAGGTTTAGGTTTTAAATGGCTGCAGTCCATATGATTTAGGATTGAGGGCTCAGGGTTTAGGGTTTGAATGGAAAATCACATGGAAAAGAAAATGGAACATGAAATGGCCACTGTGATTATATAGTGGGTTACAGGGAGTGATATTCCCAGAGACTTACTGGACATGGGTTCCATATGCGGGAAGACGCTGTGGGGACTATACCAAACCACCGAAGGAACGCCTATGTCCACCCCTAACGGTTTGTGTAACCCTAGTGCCCTAGTATTGACACTCGTCATATTATGAAACCAGCAAGGCTGACTTCTGGGACGGACAGGCTCCTCCTTTGCTCGCTCCAAAAAAGGGGCATGCCTTGCTTTTGGCCACCCCCCGATACTTAAGTCCCAAAGCCTGTAGTGCCCCTTAAGTAGATAGATTATGCGGTATATGGGGATCTTGTTATAATATACCCAAAGCCATATTCCATCTACTTAAGGGGGACTATGAGCCCCCAGCCCCTGGCCTGCGATGCGGCGCGAACGGACTGCTGCGAGTCAGAGAATGCCTGGACAGGCTTGGGAGTCCCTCAATCTTTCTGGACAAGGGTTTAGGGTTGAGGGATATTGGCCCACTGATCTGGATAGTTGAAGAGAACATGGAAACTACTATTTAGGGTTTAGGGCTATATCGGAGTATACAGGGACCTCTAACACAGATCGTGGAGAATCAGCTGGAAGAGTTAATAGAAAACAAAATAGAAGCTGGGCTGATCGAGGCTTTTTTAGGGAAAAGCAATGCTTTCCTCTGGTTAGCATGACATGAAGAAATGGAAAATAATATGCACACTATTGCATTGTTAGAGAGTCTATTTGGGGGCAGTGCAAGCATGGATGTTGCGGATCAAGCCCTCAACCAAGCATTGACTGGCACATGTAGCAATGTAGCCCAAACCCGGCCCTCTGGATCATTGGCAGCGACTGGACCGTGTAGGGATCGAACAGGCGGCCTTGCACGGTAGAGCAGTTGCATGCTATCTTGTGCTTTCGAAGCAACATCACTGGCCGGGGGGCCAAACTACAGTAAACATATGAGCTAATGTCTAAACTCCTAGTATCCCCCTTAATAATCCTTATGGTAGTTCCCCTATATAATCCCCTATATAACCCCCCTTTAAGGAGTTTAGACTATAGCTCATATGCCTATAGCCACCCATGTAAATGCAGCCGCTAACCCAGCTTGCCAGGAGCTGCAGCGGCAGCAGCAACAGCAGCAGCTCGAGCAGCTCGGCGGTAGGCTGCAGAGGGCGGGTTGTGACACTGGCGGCGGTGGTGTCACCAGTTTTGGGTGAAAAGGTAGTCTTCGAAGTTGCGGTGGCGCCGGTAGCTATCGGAAATAAAGCAGGCAATGCAAGAATGACAGCCAGAAACACACCCATGACAGTATTGATGAGATGTATTTAGCCTTTACTCCTCAACAGTCCGGTAAACATGAACTTTGAGCGCACGTGTCCGGGCGAGTCTGTCTATCAAAATAAACTGGCTAGACCTCGAGTCCTCAAACTCCAGGGGTGGTTCATGGTGGTGCCACTGCTGGACAGAAGAGAAGCAAAACGGCTATATCAAAATCACCACACTTTGAGAACCGTGACCTTATTCAGGGGCCGCACTGTAAGTGCACGGAAGTGGGTATTGCCACGGACTGCTGTAGACATCTATCGCCCTTGCCCTAGTAATACACTCCGTGGCCCCCAGAATAACCGATACTCTTCCAACATAATGAGGTATATGCAATATCACTTGTATTGCGAGTAGTCATCACTGGGGGTTGGGCAGTTTGCGTTTACAGGGAGGGGACCATAGTCTCAAAAAACCAACCCTGTGACCTCAGCTTTTGATGCTCCAGTGTTCGGGGGCCTTAAACCCAACCTGGATCCTTAGATGTTCCTGCTATTCTTCTGGTTGGTCTCTGGACTTTGCTGCAGAATTAATGGGTCGTAGAGCTTTGCAAATTTGGCAGGCGCGGGTGGCTCAAGAATTCGAAGGGCCTGATTTTCCATGGCGGAATTGTCAAGTTCCGCGACGCAGTGGAGGAAATGTCGGCAGAAGCAGCAATTGCTCTGCGGAACTTGTTTGCTTTTCAGGCGGTTTTCTTGTTCAGGTCTAGCAAGCCGATTTGATTGTGGTAAACTTGTGCATTCCAACAACTTAAGGGCAGCAGGACAGTACTGTAACCTACACTACTCGGCAATACTCGGCACGATCAGTAGTTTTTCTGGCTGTCATGTACATGCTATTACCTATGTTACAAAATAATTTGACCATGTGCTCTGGCAACATGAGAGTTATTTTTCTTCTCAGCATGGATGGGGGAACCGTATGCTCTGGCAACATGAACGTCATTTTCTTCGCTGCTCTAGGAAACTGCTAGCTCTAGCAACACAAACTTTATTATCTTGGCCGGCATGGATGCTCTTAGCAGCGTTTGCAATGCGAAGGTTACTATCTTGGCCAGCATGGGTGCTCGGGGAACCGTATGCCCTGGTAGCACGAACGTGATGGCCTGCATGGAGGCGCAGGGGAACCGTGACATCAGTATGTTGGCCGACTAAACTTCAATGCCAGTTCCGGGAACAAACAGAACTTTCGCAAAAGATATCTCCAACTACCGCATGTCAAAACCAATGATTGGTGGGTAAACGTTACGGGCGGATCCTATTCTCGTAGTAACTCGCTATTATTATGATACTTCCTACTTTTGTGAAGCAAGATGCCAGGCCTAAATTGACGGCCAGGCCCTCCAAACACAGGACGGCGCCCTCGCGTACGGCGTGGCTCTTCTTGTCCTGCCATGACCCATACTTGGCGGGACGCTATATTAGGCCGAATAAAATCCATCAACAAACCCATGATGACTCTCTTTTGCAACATGTGTACGGAGGTCCTCTAACCCAATAGTAACCATAGGTTCCCACATGGTCCCACAAAGTACCGACTGGGACAGAAACAGGACCGCTTAAGAACTCTCCCTCAAGGGGATGATAAAGGAACCCACAGGTTCTTAAAGGGTCTTCGCTTTTTGGAGGCCCCTGGAGATGTACTTGAATGACTCTTGAGGCATGCGGCAACACTTGCAGCAGTGGCGCTCACAACCATGTCAGTCCGAACCCACACAAGTCGCGGCTTAATGTGCAATCCTTGCTGACGAAGCCCCAGAAACAAACGCGCAAACATGGATCTCTGCAAGCTACACTCCTGGGAACTAACATGGAAACCCAAAAAGGGCCCTATAAAGACTACAGTCCTTCTAAAAGGGGACTATATGGGTTTCCATGTTAGTTTGGGGGAGTGTACTTGCTCTCTCCCTCCTCGGCCACGTCTTCAATCCGCTTCAAGATGTTGTACTCGGACACGGCCTTTATACTCAGACCTGCCATGACCATTAGGGTTTAGGGTTTAGGGTTTAGGGTTCAGCAACTGCGCATCAATAGAGAGTTTCCCGAGACATTTACTGGACAAATTAGAGCCCACACAGCAACATGACACCGGGTAAAAGGACTGGGGCTTTTCAATCTGCCAAAAGTTTCTCCTAATCTAGGGAAACTCCCATACAT